TTCATCAAGCAAATACAGGAATAACTGACAGTTGTCACGAAGACAATCATCATACTACATCATGAACTAGTGGGCCGACATTGGTGCATTCGACTCACAAATATAGTGAATGAAACTCACCTCGCCGAGAAAATCCACAGCTAATAGCTCACACAGCCAACAAATGGGTGCCATACACCTCCTAACAGCCCATACAAGGTAAACCTTTAGTTCACCTTCTAAAACTAGCAATTTGACTAAAATTCAACTCCACAAAAAGTCAACACTCAAACTCAACGGTCAAATTCAAAGTCAACAATCAACATTTCCATCAGTTGACACTTACATCGTGACCAGTCCTTGGTCACGTCATGAGAACGCACTCGGCCATATTCCAACTCAACTCGCTTCGACTCTGCCAACTCGGTCCCATATCACCTACTCAGCACACCTCATGGCGTGAACCTTCCTTGGTCACGTCATGAGCTCAGTCAGTCGAAACAATCGTGTAAAAATCACTCTCACATCGTGACACTCCCTGTGTCACGTCGTGAGCCACGCCTGATGCTAAATCCTAATGTCTTGAGTCCTTAATCCATTAAGTCATCCATTCCAACTTTCCAGAGGGCTTTCATGCACCAAAAGCAACATAAAAATCTTTGCTTTATGGACATGCATGTCTTGAACTTGATTGGGTCAAAATGGTGAAAATGAGATCCAAATCTCATGCGTGGGAGCAAAACTCAACCAAACTATAGATCTAGAACACCAAACCTCAAAGGCACCTCATGGATCCATAAAGTTGCCAACTTTATGAAATCTAACCACTCAAACCACCTCCAACAAGAAGGAAAAGGCATAAAATTCTCGATCTAGAAGAATAACACATAAAGGTTGGAACTTGAGGACTAACCATGGTCTAATGTATGATCTTTAAGGTGGTGAGGGAACTTGCTTGCTGAATCTAACCACCAAGAACATATTCTTCTTCTTCAAAGCATAAAAATCTCCATAAATGGATGGAAGATGATAGGGAGGCTCAAAATGGTGAAAGGGAGGCTAGGTTTTCTCTCAAGATGATCTCGATATGACGGAGGCTCATAAAGTGTCATAATAACACGAAACCAACCCTTATTTTGTTGGGTTTTAGTTCAAAAATAGTTTCATAAACTTGAAAAATATGGCAACGGAAGACTTAGAATTTTGAACATAACATAACATTTTATACCCACCAAGGATCTCCTTGCAAGTTATAGAAAGATAAACTACCAACCATAGAAAGGATGAAAAAATAATAACCTTTGTTGTTCTTTGGATCCTCTTGGGAGGCTTGGAAGTTGATGAAGAATGTGGAACCTTTGAGAAACCAACAACGACTCAACTTAATGTAGATGCTAGTCCATAAACTCTTAAACCCTTAAGCTTTAAGTTCATACCCAATATGAACTTAAAGCTGGCATGAAGATGCAAGTAACTTCAAGAAATGATGAACAAAAGAGAGAGAGTAACCTCCTTTAGGGAGGTTACGATTTTAAGAGGGAAGAATGGATCAACCCATTCAAGAATAGAAGCCTCATATTTATATTGTCTTAAAGTGAAGTCTTTAACCATTAGATCCTTCCAGTTTAGACAAGCATGTCCCTAAAGCTTACATGTCTCACATGCATGCACCATGCTTCATTTCTTTTGAATAAACAAATTGGAAAGCCATCCCTCTTTATCACTAACTCATTTCGGCCATGATGAAGAAAAAGAGAAAAATAAGTTTATATTTTATAAACTCAAAGTTTATAAGATATAAACTTTGTCTTTTGCTAAAAGACAAAAAGCTTAACTAGTTCAAAATGTTGTACATGACTTATTAATTCATACATTATGAAATAATATATGTTATATTACTTGTTAATGAAAATTAATTATTTCCTTGAAATGAATAATTTCCAATTTAATTATAAGAGTTTTATTGAATATTTATTAAAATGAATTTCTAATAAATAATCAATTATATCAAGTTGTTGTTAGTGTGACCCACTAGTATAATATGTTAATTAGCAATATCACTTTAATATGATTCTTGAGCATACTAGACCTTTCATATATACGTTGAAAACCCTAAAACTCGTGGGCTTGGGCTTCACAGTTCTCATGTCGTGAGCTCCTAACACTCACGTTGTAAGCACAATTTAAATCAGCATTTCCATTTAATCGCTTCTCACATCGTGAGCTCCAACTGCTCACGTCGTGAGCTTAGTTTTCCCCCAAATCCTTTCCAACTTCGAACAATCATAACTTCTTCGTTTCAACTCCGAATTTGGCGTTCTTTATATCCACAGAAAGGTATTGAAGAGCTCTACACTTCTATATCGATACTTTTGGCTCACCACATGTCCAACTTAAAACCTTAACCCTCGCAAGTGGCCTGACACATAACTTTCCCCAATCCATCCTCAGTTCCAAATACACGATTCATAGGCCTTGATCCTATTACCAACAATAACATCTTTCAATAAAGCCCAAACCTCACTTCCTTAAAATCCCCAAAGCCTACATATAACTAAATTGCGGTCCATGATCCTGAATCACAGAACAATCCGAATCAGAGCGTTACATAAACAAATGATCCTTACTAGTAGACATTGTAAAGGTAGTGGATGAACTCTCTTGGAAGTTAGGCTGCTCATACTTGAAGGTTCTTTCGATTTCAGACAAAGCGATAAAACTCTTGATATTCTCTTCAGTCTCTTTGGTGGAAGGAGAAAGTTCCTCAAACTTGGTGGCGGCATAAAATCAAACAAAATTGGAAACTGTGAATTTCAGGATCGTTAACATATTAAATCGGATCCTACTCTTTTTGATCCAGTTAATTGGCAGAAGATCACCGTTGGCGATGGACTGGTGTTTCACAAAGAAAAAATTCTCTTTCCAAGAACCATCATTTTGTTCTGTTTTCAAAATTCGATGTGTTTTGTTGGTTTTGACTTTAAATAGGAAACGACAAGACCCAAAAGTTGAAAGATCATAGACCTGGGCTAGCTCAGCCAAACCCATGTTAAGACCTATGGACTGATTCAACCGATCAATCCAAAAAATTGTCCCCTAGAGTGCAGGCATGGTTTGATTGTAAGAAATTTTTGTCACCTCGAAAAACTCAGAAACAACACAAGAGAAAGGATAGGTCAAAACTAAGGAGAATGGATATTCGGGGGAAAAAACCCAAGTAGGAGAAATAAAATCTGGTTGGGCATGAGCATCGATAGTTTTGAAAATGGTATAAGCAGGAAAACCCCTCTCGTTTTCAAAGATTCAATGTCGCCATCTTCAAAAGAATAGATCTCTTCATACTTAAAGATTTTTTGATCAAAAAAATCCTCATTATAGGAGGCAAGGATGCTTGCGCGAGAGTGAAGGATCATTTTACCCATGGATCACAAAAAGAAAATAAAGTAGGAAAAATGAAAGAGAAGGGGGCAAGAAATTTACCTTGAAGACGACTGATGATGCTTGAAAGATAGAAGAGGTAAAGAAGCACCAATAACAACTATACCCTATTTATTCAGATCGCAGAAGAGAGATAAGTGACATGACAGGTTAATATCTCCCAATGAACAGATAAAATTCTATCCGTTGGAGTTTAAAATTCAAAATTCTTATCTTAGTTCGATTTCAAAATAAATTATTCCTTTTAGATATTTGAAATTAATCCAAACATTTTGTAGGTTAATTTAGGGGCAATTATTATGGGTCGGGATCCTGAAATATGTCTAAGATCCCAGATCTTAAAATAGAATCAGGATCTTGAAATATATGTTGTAACGAGTCAGTATCCTGAATATTTTCAATGTTATTTTTTAATAAGATTAAATATATTTCCTGTTTGTTATTCACATGTCTAGAAATAGTCAACACAAGTCACATTTATATTGAAGAATCTCTCTAGGCAAAACCTAAAATCCGGAGTTACCAAGTCAAGGAAACGTGCAAGGGCTTGTTCAAAAGGATCCCGAGAATATCAGACATCTAGTTAGTCAACTTAGGCTATAAGTACACTTGTGTAAATCACACAACGAGCACCTAGAGAAACTGAATCACTTGTGCTCATACTCTCAAACACATTTCTGTAATTTGCATTTTGATTAATAAGATTAAACAATGAATGTTATCATTATCACCTCCCAATGTTTTATGTCGTAGATCCTAGCAAGGATCAAGGGATTTCCTTGTAAGATCATCAGTGTCACTTTTCATTCAATCTTTTACATTCATATTGATTGCAACACCACAACCTCTCATACAATTTGGTTGATACTTTCTTGATTATTTTTCGACCAAAACACCCATATTGTAATCGATACTGATTAGATGTATGGTTTATATAAACCATGTTAGATGTATGGTTTATAACTTTATATAGTGGCAATCTTATTTACACAATATAAAGTTTCACAAAACAATATATTTATACACATGTTCTTTTAAAAAAATGTGATTGTTCCCTAAATAATTTTTATTTTATAAAGTTATTAAGATTTTTTAGCTATTAGGTTAAAAAAAATTGTTTGATAGTATGACTTTAAAATGTTTATTTTGTGACAAAAACTTGAAAAGCTATTTCATATATATTTTGAAAGCTTTAAGCTTTTATGTTTCGATTTTGAGTTTTTATTCATACATATGTTTTTTTTTTATATATAATTTATACATTTTAAAAAGCTTACAAACACTTTTTTATAAATAAAAGTTAAAATTTCCTATTATTTTTATCAAACATACCAAAAAACTCAATAATTAAAATATACATACTAGTCATTCTACAGTATACTGAATTTTTCCTTGCTAACGAACTCACAATACTTGCTTTGTCGTTTGAATATAAGTGAATGAGTTCGGTGTATAAATGACTTGAAAGGTTTAGGAAATACGACATTAAAGAAACATAAACGAAAAGAACACATTCTATTAAAACATCATACACACAATCATCAATTGATTCAAAATTTCCATTAAATATCTAGTTAAATACAAATATATGAAAATCAGGAAAAACACTCCGACTTTTATTCTTGAACCAACTGAAAACATATAGTTGTATACATGAATAAAGCAAAGACTCATTTCCATCAAGCATGAACTGGTGTCTCACACAAACAATGGAGGAATGACATAACATTCTCTTAAACACAAACGTCACATATGCGGGAATCACTAATGATTTCTGCATCATGCTTAGCATATATGCACAAATCCAACATCCAAATAAAAATTACAACTTTTTCCTCCTAAATGTCCCAATTTGACACAATTGAGACCTTTTGAGTTTTATACCGATTTACTAATCTAATGCATCCCGCCTCCAGAGACCTTTGAAAGTACAACGTCAGGAGGTGGTGACGGCAGCATGGTGAATGCAAAAATCCCACTTATTGCAGCCGCCACAGCTCCCACCACAAACGCTGGTAAATTGCCACCACCAAACAGTGCGTCCCATGGTCCACTTAGCACAGATACAACCATCTGTTGAAACAAAAATAAAATTCGATGAATATCGTTTAGACATTAAATAATAGTATTTTCAAAACGGTGGTTGTATCTGTAGGAATAAATAAGTTAATCAAGTATTGTCTAGTCCAAGATCAAATTGTTTGATCCATGACCTATTGTGACATCTGTGATACATTTCAACTAAAACAAAACATGTTCTTTCAAATAAAAAACAACCACTTAACACATTCTAACTCATTTTAATTTCGACCTATATTAACATACTCGTAAAAGACAACTCGTGTTACCAATATCTTGATACTTTGTTTATTTTTGACCCAACTCATTCATTTGTCCCATATACCTCAAATATTAGCTTATAGGAATGGTGACAAGTGTGAGGGTCCCAAATTTATAGATGTGGGGCCAACCACAACCCCCATACCATATGTTTTTATTAGCCTAATGGAAGTCAAGCAACGGTATGGGAGATCATAATGTAATGTTTTGGTTTTAGTCAATGATGAGAAAGCAATGTAACATGCTCGACTGGATGGCCAAATTTGTTTCTATTATAGTTCAATTTTGATTTAGAAATACAAAAACTTATTTTGGATTGTGGCATACAAGTCATATTATGAGTCCAACTTAAAGTAAGAATACAAGTCTAAAGAATACTTGTGTCGTCATGCCACAAATTAAGAAACAGTGAGGGCCCATTTTTGTTTTCAAATGCCAAATTCCACACAAGCTTACAATTTTGACTTTTTGTACCAAAACTTCAATTCATAATTTATGTAATGAAAACCCCCTATTTTGTTTTATAAAAGATATTTGCAAAACATAATATTAATTGTTGTTATTGATATAAGAAAAATGTACCTGAGGAATCACGATTGCAAGATTCAGAACACCAAGTGATAGACCTGTGAAATTAGAATAAATTATAGTTAAAGTAAAACTACAAGAATATTTTTTGTTTTTAATTTAGAAATTACAAGACAATTTTATTTTAATTTACCTTGTCCAGCTCCTGAGTCGTTAGAAAATATCGAGGCTAGAGCGCAAGGGACACTAAAAGTCACCTGAAAGCATACCATAAATTAACAAAAATGAGATCGAGCTTTAACTTTATTTAAGTAATAATTTCACAAAATATTAATAATTTTTACCATGAACATGTCAAGAATCTTTGTATTTATTACGCAATTAAATGTATTTTTCAAATGGTCAAATATATTAATTGATTTGCATTTAGAGTTTAAGAGTTGTAAAGATTCATGATATCATTAATCTAAAATTAGATTGATAATAATCGATTAAATGTAAGACAATTACCATCTTAAATTCTCTTCTTGATAAGAATATAATCAAATTCCATATATACTTTATAAAGAATATATTCAGTTAATAAGGTAGTATTCCTATCCATTTCCTTTTAAATTATTATTATCCTTCAAAAAAAATTATTCCACACAAAAACACATATATTGCAACCCAAAAATGTTTATACTTGAGCTATTTTATATTCTTTTACATTTAAAAATTGGTATTTAGTTATTTATTAGTATACAACTTTAAAAGAAAATCAATTAAAGCATGTATATATTATAAATATGGAGAAAGTATTAATTTTCTAATAATATTTAATATAAAATATTAGTATATGTGAATTTGATGCAAGTAGTTGTAAAGGTAAGAATTTACTCACAGCGAGTGGGGCACCGAGGACGGCAAAAATCGACAGAGCTCCGCCTTTGATCCCGGCGTTAGGTGGCAGAGGAGTGGTGGTCCCATCTGGCAACGTCGTGAACTGCCTTTCAGACTCCGCCATCTTCGTCACCAGAACCGTCATCGCCAAACAAATAGCAAGAAGGAAATTAACGCCACCCCACAACCGCTTCACACCACCTACCCAACGAGCCAAGTGCTCGATGCACAGAGAAGAGAGACCTGACACGACGGAGTTAATCAACAAACCCAAAGCTCCGGCACGGACACCACGGTTGTACAACTGCCCAGCCGGTCCAGTACCCACCTCACCACCGTACACCTCCTTACCCATCCAATCGGTGTCGAAAAGAAAAAATGGAAACCATGCAACCCAGTTTAAGCATGTCACCATCAACAAGATCCACATCGGTCTTGACATTTCTTTCAATGCTCCGAGCATTTCTCCAAAGAAAACCATTTGTTTCCCGTTGGATTTATCGACGGCTTCCGGTACGAAAACATCCTCCGACACCGTCGCTAGAGCCAACACCGTTATGCTCACCAACAGTGCGATGGAGATGAAGAAACAGGTTTTCAAATTTGCACAGTAGACGTCGCATGCGGCTGTTTTTGTAAAGGGGACGATCTGGTAGAGGTGAGTGTAAGAACCGGCGGCGTACCCGAGTACGTTTCCGACACCCATGAAGAAAGCAAACATGGCATTTCCGGTACGGATCTTGCTAGAATTGGAGCCGGATAAGTCAGCCAACAACGCCCGGCATGGACCTTGAAGCGTGTTATTTGCAACATCAAGAATCCAGAAACCGACGACAAAAATGGCTACGGCGCGGGGCTTCGTCGGTGCACCGAGTTTGTCTCCGGCAGAGACACCAATGTCGGCAGCGTATCCGATAAGGAAAACGGCGATGGCGACAAGCAAAGCTCCTCCGGCAATAAAGGGACGGCGGCGACCAAAGCGAGAGGTGCATCGGTCGCTGTAATAACCGACGACGGGCTGAACAATCATACCGGAGATTGGACCACAGAGCCAGATGAAAGATGACCAGGCGTGGGGAACACCAAGGAGTTGGACGTAAGGGGTGAGGAGGGAGAGTTGGAGGGCCCATCCGAACTGGACACCGGCGGCGATGGCAGACACCATGATTAATTGCCATATCGGCCTTTGTGGTGATTCATGGTGCTGCATTTCCAGCGGAGCCCGTGGTGGTTGTTTATCATCTTTCGTGGATGACACCATGTTCTGCAAATCAAGATGAGGATGAAAATGGAGTTAAAGAGAGAGCGGATATGTGAGAATTAAATGGAGATGAAGGATGGTATTTATAAGCTTTTTGGCGGCTTCAAGAATGATGAGATGGCTTGGGCTGGCACTTGGCAGTGAGCCTTTTAGTTTTGGATAATATTTTCTAAATTACTATCTATCAATATTTATAACTACAAATAAATAAATTTAATGGATTCAAATTACTTTCTAATTCAGAATACTACGGACTACCAGTAGTGACATATTATCAACCAAATTTGACTCTCAAACATACACATCTCCTCTTCATTGACGCTAGACCCGCTCTCTCTCACACACAGCCACACACACATGCACATAAATAGTATATAACTACTATATCCTAAAAGTAATTACTAAATTTTAAAAATTAATAAAAATTTGATTTGTGTATTTAATTAGCGCAATTATGACATCATTATATATATGGTTGGACGGTTTTATTTAAGGTAAGGTTGGTCGTATGGTCGGTGAAGCAACGGAAAGAAGCATGAGCCGTGAAGATTGAGTCATGAGTGATTAGATTTCACCTGGCGCCCAGCAGTACATATTAAAACACCGAGTGAAAAGATTTTGAGATCACATTTATTTGTCATATTGTTTAATCAATACACAAAATATTTAAAATGATTTTAATTAAAGTAATACCAAAAATGTTTTACACTATAACCAATCTTTTACCAATATATTTATGAAATTGTTAAAATTGTCCATTTATGTTTGGTAACATACTTAAATTTATCCACAAACTTATTATCTATAGTCATAAAATATAAATATGTTATCAATAAACTACTATCTTCGGTAATTAATTCAAAATTTAAATATAATCATTTCATGTCCCTTTTCTCTTTTATTCAAAAGTTATAGTATTACTAAGCCGTGTCATTGACTCATTGCTTATCCAAATTTTATCAAATGTTTACTTCAATTTATAACTAAAATAATTTTTGAGTTGTATCATAATAATTAACAATTTTGCAATACGTGAATAATAATTTTAGAGCTAACTTATAAAAAATCCAATATATTTTTACCTAATTTTTTTAAAAACTATTTATACTTTTTCTAAGTACGTTAAAATCCCTATATTTTTTGAAAGTCTAATTTAAAACTTTCTAATATGAAAAACCTAACATCTTTCCATTCAACTATTAAAAAACAAATATATTAATTTTTTAGTGTGTTAAAACCATATATTCTCAAAAAAAACTTATAATCAAAGATATTATACGAAACCTTTAAGAATCAGAATCGATTAACATCTATGCTTATCTAGATTTATTTGGCTCAACGACTTAATTAGACAATATCGGAAAAATATAAGAATTTTAATGCATTAAAAGTTATAGTGGTTTTTTTAAAGATTAAATGAAAATATATTATCCATATTTTAATTATTCTTGGTTTTTATTTTTAACGCATTAAAAGATTATAATGGTTTTTTTAAAGATTAAATGAAAATATATTATTCATATTTTAATTATTCTTGGTTTTTGTTAGTCACCTTATTTTAAAACTTTTGTATAACCGTATAAGGGTTTTCACCTAATTATAAGGGTGGAGCAGAGCGGTCATATTTTCATCATATTATGTGTATCACTATTCATGCCGGTTATTATTTCTTGTTTTCACATTTCATCTTAAAACTCTCACAACTATGTCATGATCATCTTTCTAATATATTTTTTATTTAAAAAATAAAAACATATAAAACAAATTAAAGAATATGTAACTAATAATGATACAATATCATTAAAAAAAAATTTAAAAAAATGTACGAATGAATTATAATTAAATTTTCATTAAATACTTAAAACTATTTCATTCTTAAACCCAACATTGTGTTATTTTACGCTTGTGTGCACGATTGTGTGTCGTATATGTGTTAAAAATAAAACAAATTGTTCCTAAGTAGATATGAATTTAAGATCCTTTGAGCAATTACTCCATTGTATTACCTAAATAAATTATTAATTCTACTGTAATATGTTTGAATATTAAATAAAAACCAACCAATTTACACAATTGAGATTTATGATTCTTTCGAAATATAATCCTTCAGAAAATGCAACAACCAAGTTGAACGTGACTATTATAGATGCTACTACACAAGTAGAATTACTATTATCACAATCGATATTATTATATCTATATATTAAAATTGTGCAGCAACATGAATAGTGAACTGGCCAATTGTTTGGCAGAAATGGTCCATAAGTTTTCATATTTTCAGTGGTTCAGATTTTTGGCACTAAACTTTGTAATATTGTCAATTTGGTCCATTATATTATTAACAGTTCTGTAAGGATAAGGATGGCCGGTGACACGTGCCATTCCCACGCCTCCCCCCAACGGTTCTGCCTCGGTTCCTGTGTTTCCCACGAAATTTTTTCTGGATCCCTCCATTTCTGAACGACGCTTCTGAACACAACCACCACATCTCCACCGTTTTCCGCTTCCCGTTTTCTACTTGGTCCAGGTATGTTTTCCCTGCTCACGTTCTGACCTCCACCACCGTCTCCTATACCAATCTGTTTCTTCCATCTAATACAATTTTTCGTCTGTATCTTCTTTCTTGAAGGTGATCACACGTGTTAACAATCTAAAGCCTCTTTATCTTCCCCCATTGTCTCTCTCATCGGGTATCTTCCAGTATGTTCTCCATTTTGTTTGCCTCCTCTCAAGCGACGACGAACGACTCCTTCCTCTTTGCACACAACGCTGAACTGGTTCCCTCCGAAAGCCACCGCCTCTGTCGCTGCCGCCTCAAGCAGAGCTACTGGCCTCCGCCTCTCCTACTTCAGCGCCGACTTTTTTGATTTTGCCATCTACTGAAACGAAAGAGATTTTGGGCAGTATTGATTTTCTCTCTCTCAAACGAAATCCATGAATTACCGCTGCTCACATGAAAAGCTGAAAACAACAGCACACACCGCCACCCAACCGTGCTGCACTGGACCACGATCTCTCCACCTACTCAGCCACAATCGCTGCTATATCTGTAACTCCCAAGCTCTCATCGGTATGGAAACCCTAAAAGACCACCACCGTGGTTCTTCTCTGTCGGTCTTATAGTCTATTTCGTTTGTTTCTTTCTTATTATACGAAATCGCTATCTAGAAACCGTATTCTCTAACTTTCTATGTGTGTGTTTGAAGGTAGAAGGTTCTCTCCGGTCAACAAATCGGTCCTATTAAATCTCAGGTTAGGGTTTTTGTTTACGGCTATCGCGGGTTGCACTTATTCCGAGTTGGTTTAAATGAGAAATTCGTTGATCCAAATGACAAAGCGTTGATTGAATTTGCAATTGCGTTCTGAATTCTGAACAAATGAATGTTATTCTGGTTTACCATGTGTAGGAACTACTATTGCACGATATGCGTTTGCTGAAATGTTAATGTCAACGGACAAATTCTTTTTTGATTTGAGATCGGTGATGATGGAGATATGAAAGATTTATGTCATCTCCTGGAAAAATTATCTCTGGTATGCTCCACAAGAGTCCATTTCTGCCTCTCATTTTTTAATCCTAAATGATTTTTCTCTTTTCATATTTATTTTGTGGTTTGCAGTTTTCAGGGTATATAGTTTACTTATGAAAGAAGTTAAGTCTGGACTATAGATGTAGGTGAAGTTGTTGAAGACGGAAAGGAGTTCGAGGGAGACAGGGAACAAATGTGGTGTCGGTAACATATTTATTTGATTTTATGTATTAATTTTTAGTGAATTTTAATTTTATGTTCCATTTCCATCCATTCGGGATTGAAGCCAGATGTTGTTGGTCTTCCATTAAAGGATTGGTCTCTAACTGTAAGTCACGTGTTTTGTTCTCTCTTGCATCTTATGATGTTATTATTTAGTTTGAACTATGAAGGGTAAAACTGAAACTACCATTGATAGGAACACAAAACAACGACATGTTATCTTTGCATGAATTGCGCACACCCACTGTTTGACTTATTGCTACAAAGGTAATGGGTATATTTGGATTTTTATTAATTTTCCTTTATCTACCAGTTTATTCATATGCCTGGTTAGGTTGATGGGTACATTGCATTTTTATTAATTTGTCTTAAATTTTGGTAGAATTAGGTTAGGGGATGAATAAAAACATTATAAATGGTTTGATTAAGCTGACGTATTTTCCACTTTGTTAGCATCTATTAATTTGATCTCAACTCTTCTTTTGCACTGCATTGCCTGATATCAACACAAATACATGGATTCATTTTTCCGATTACTATGTTTCGATCTAAACCACGTGTAGTAACTCCTTAAAGTGAACATTTCTATTTTTTTATTACAGCAGGTGGTTTGATGAAAGGCTATGTTGATCAAGACGATGGTATATGGAGATGTATGTAGAAGCTTCGGTCTTCATCTTGGTTTGTAAAATGATCCTGGAAGTTGGAGTGTTGGAGTCATGCGGACAGGTCAAGATCTCTTTCAACTACAATTGTCCTGCTCCTGTACATCAATGGAGCATATCATATAAGGTTAAACTATTTGAAAAGTAATACTCCACTTTTCATTTATTATAATTGTAAATGAAATGTTAATTTGGAATTGATGAAAGCATAAAATGTTGGTGAAACAAATTTGGTTCTTTTCCAATCGAGTTTTTTGGCCTTTACTTTTATGTTTTTGGTTCAGATCATTATCTTTATTCAGGAATATAATTATCCAATTGGTTTTCTTTTTGGTTAGGATTGGTTATGAACCTACATGATTGTTGGAACCAAGATATGAAGGGACTCATTAGTGCTACTTTAAACCAAAATGATGATTATAATCGGATCCCCAACGATAAAGGCATCAAAGTCAGGTGATTTATAAGTTGGGGTGTACAAGATAGTAATAAAAGATATGTATAGGTAAATAAAACAACTTCTAAATCTGGCAGCCATACTGTTAGCAATAGGCGATCATCGGGTTATTGTTGTGGATTGAATCAAACTGCTATGCATCTTATCTCTTTAACTCTTTAAAGATCATTCTTAAATGGAATAAAAAATTTACTTTCCGACATAGTTGTTAACATAATCCTTTGGAATGAGATCATTTGATAAATTAGATTAACAATTTTTGTTTCTTGAAAA